GAGTTATTCAAGTGATGATAATGTGATTGAAAACGGTCATTAAAGTGTTCATACCGTTGACCACTCAAATGATGATTCAAATTCCAGTGAAGCTAGCTCTATTCAACAAAATGTGCGTAAACGTACAAGACCTACATCAAGCAGATGATTCTGACGTAGCAGTGGACGAATGGAATTGGAAAGAAAAAGAAAATTTACTGAAACTTCCAGTATCAATCCTCTGTGTGTTGTAAAACAAGTTTTATGTGACGATTTTTTTGAAATGATAGTCAGAGAAACAAATAGATATGCAGCTCAAATGAGAATAGAACAGAATACGAAAGTGAACGAAGAGTGATTTCCAGTAACGACTGATGAAATTAGAGCATATTTTTCGTTATGCATTATAACATCACAGGTAAAAAAGTCTAAAATAGACATGTATTGGTGAAAGCGAAAAATATTAGAAACACCCATCTTTTTGCAAATTATGCCTCGTAGACGTTTTTTGTCTATAATGTACTTTCTTCATTTTGTGGATAATGGGATGATTGTTAGAGAAGACAAAATACGAAAGGTTCGATCTGTGGTTGATTACTTGAATACCAGATTCCAAAAATTATACATTCCGGAACAAAATGTCGTCATAGACGAATCCCTAATGAAATTCAGAGAGCGGTTGAATTACGTACGATTTATCGCATCAAAACGAGCGAGATTTTAAATTTTACAAATTATGCGAATCCAATTCTGGGTACTGTTATCGATTCAAAATCTACACGGGACAAGATAATATTGAAGAAAGCGATATATCTGTATCGCAAAGTGTAGTCATGGAACTAGCCGAACCCATTTTAAGGAAAGGATATACCTTGTTTTTAGACAATTGGTACTTGTCACGAAAATTATTCCAAATTTTGAATGAAAATAATACAAATGTTGTTGGAACGGTTAGAAAAAATCGAAAAAATATGCCACAGAAGCTTGCATCGTACAAACTAAAAAAGGGAGATATAAGAACATTATCTTGCAGAGGTATTCTGTCTTTACGCTGGCTTGATAAGAAAGATGTTTGTGTAGTAAGTACTAAACATTCGAGAGCAGAAATGGTTGACACGGGAAAAATAAGAAGAAAGAGGGGTGGTGGGGAAGATAATGTTTTAAAATCCAGCTGTGTAGTGGAGTACAACCGTGGAATGGGAGGTGTCGACAGGCAAGACCAATTTCTTGCATGTTTCCCTCTCATGTGAAAGTACGTTAAAGGATATAAAGGTAAAGAATGTTCTTTTATACGTTTGATATAGCTATCTATAATGCTTATGTCCTATATTCTAAGTTACCTAATTCACCAAAGCAATCGATTGTAAATTTTCGATTGAATATTGCAGAAGATATGCTTTATTATTTGTCTCTTCCTAACTATCAGACACGTGGCAGACCATCGCAAAATGAATGCCCAACTCGGCTCCAGGCAAAACATTGGGCACATTTTCCTCAACATATACCTTCGACTGATAAAAAGGATCCTGCAAAGAGATGCCATGTGTGTGTAAAACATAATATAAGAAGCGAAACAACTTGACAATGTAAGAAATGTCTAGTTCCTCTACATGTTCCAAAATATTTTGAAATGTTTCATACTTCTATGAACTACTAAATTATTATTTTATAATGTTACTTAATTATTCTTAACATTATATATCAACCTGATTGATATATACTGATTACTTAATTCATTAAGTATTGAATTACAAAATTTAATTAATGATTAAATTTTTCAGTAAGTTTTAATCATTAAGTATTGAATTACAGAATTTAATTGAATTAATGAATTCATTAAGTAATTCATTAAGAATTTAATTACAGAATTGATTACTTAATTCATTAACATTATATATCAACCTGATTGAATGTTATATACCAATGCAAATTTCAAAATAAAACGCTCTGTTTCTAAACGTGCACCTAACAGTTGAACCAATTTAAATAGTACTTTTCGGACGCATCAAATTCCGTTTTATTTGACAAGGGGTTGACTTGAATACTTACTTAAATATTTCAGCATATATATGTAGCAAGTCTTCATGAAGACGTTTGTATATATATATATATATATAAAAGACGATAGCCCATGACAATAAATATCCAATAGTATAAATATAAACATTAGAATGTAGTGGAAAAGTCACAGTATCGTATAATCTGAAAAGATATTAATTAAAAATTTATTTTCTACGAATAAAAAATTAGCCTAATAATAGTGAATAAAAGTAGTACCACAGACGAGGTATAGTATAATAGTAATATATAAAAGTAGTATATATAACAAGAAAGTAGCTGAAAAACTTACTTTAACTTACTTAAACTTGTTTAGAATGGCATTCGTGATACTTTGCCTACTGTGAAGTACTATCTTCAATTTTTAATGTTCAAACATCGAAAATTCTTTAATTCGATTGTATTTTCGTTTTGTTCCGCAAACTTTGGCATTGCATGCTTTAATATATGATATGCGCTTAATTGTATACTAGATACAGGAGATTGAAAGAATTTCAATCCAATTGAACAATCGTTGTAAGAAATATATGATTTTTGAAAGTTACATTTCCATCAACCATTTTCAGCTTTTTCTAAATGATCCAATAACAACTGCTTGCAAAGCTGTTGTTTCTTCATTATAAATCTGATACATAAAATTTTATTAAAAATTGCACATAAAAAAAATCAATGATTTAATTTATATGTTTAAATTATAAATTATAAATGTACCTGCACAAAACATCCAACATTCAATAGTTCCGTCAATTTGACCGTTTTTTAAACTTTTGTACATCTTTCACATATTTAAACGTTATCACATCGCTATCAAACTTTACGATTTTTCTAAAAATATACATACGATACATACGATGTATTCTTCAATATTTACTTCTCTTTTGTTTCGTTTTATTTTTCTTCCCCCCCCCCCAAATATATGTAGCCTGTCCTATCTACCGCGACCGGTCAATTTGAGAAAATATAATATTTACACGTTATATTTTTATATGACACAGTACAATTTTATAATTACAGGAAAGAACATAAAAGTATACAAGTTCTAAAAAATTTCCTTTGCATCTCATGTTATAAATGCTAATTTGAAGAAAGAAAAAATAAACCAGCAATACTTTGATGTAAATTTCGGATTTTGATGAACAAGAACTATCCGAAACTGAAGATGACATGCAAAGATGAATTAGACAGATAACAAAGAGGAGAATATTATAAATAAGGGCAAAAGAAAAGGAGATCATTATTGAGTTCCGAAAATGAGAGTGATGTAGAGGACCAAATTATAATTCTTATCGAAACTGCTTCTGATGAAACAGTTTGGGAAGAAATAGAGGAAGAAGTTTTGTTTCAAACCTGGAAGAACATCAGTTCATAATATGTTAGGAAAGTGTTTGGTCAGGATATGCTAAACGACATGCCATGAAAGAAAAAGTAAAGATTGCATTTATAATGAACGAGTCCATGTCTTTTTTATACTCATTTCATTTTGTTTTACTACAGAAGATTCTGTTAGAATTTTTATGATAGATGTACAGTCTATGGGGAAGTGATCTGAACGTTTCACCTAATTGTTGGGCAATTATGTGGTGGTCAATGTCTGTCTTTGTAATGATAAAGTCTAGATTACTTTTATTCTGTTGATTATAGCTTATATGTGAGTGACTGTCTGTGTTGTGTATTATAAGATTATATTTGTTTATTAGTCTGTAAAGATTTTCAACTGCTAGATTGATGGCATCGCAGTTCCACTATGGAATGCAGCGCGTTGAGATTCTCCGCTAGAAGGAAATTTCATTCCTTCATCGCACAAAGTTTTCACGAGCTCTTCTCATTGATTCAATAAAATTGTACGTAGAAAGCCTATAACATGCAACTATTGTAATTAGTTATAAGAGGCTGATGACTTTAATAGCTAGAATTTCTGCTAGAGAATCTTCGCTGCTAGTATTGTCCACTGTGAGCCAGCGGAGTCTTTTTTTGATCAGGATGGCTACACCACCTCCATTCTTATCTTGTCTGTCTTTTCTTGTAGTGTAGTCTTATAGTATAGCCAGGAATGTTGAAGTGAGCTCTTTGGTTCAGCCATGTTTTCGTGAGAATTACCAGATCATAGTCTGGGCAGAGCTTGGTTAGTTCCGTAGTTTTATTTTCGATATTTCTACAATTTCAAAGTAATATCTTCAGTTGACCCGTTTCGTTTTTTGCCTTTGTATTGTTTGATATTTTTTGTACTGCTTTGTTATCTGAGTTATTAGAGATGAGTATTTTCTGGTTGGGTCATATGTCGTGGTATTATTGGGAATTCATTTTCTTTGTTTTTTGTTCTTTTTTCTGCGGTTTATTACCTTTGTTTGTTGCTGTTTTTATGGAGATTGGTTTCGTGTAGATGCGTTGATCGAGTGAGGATTCTTCTTTTTTGGTGGAATTTTTTATGGTATGATGGTTCGTAACAGTCATTGTGGACTTGGTTTCAGTCCTCGCGTGGCCTCCTATGCATTTTATTTTGAACTCCTGATTTAGGGAGAGATTTTTAGATGCACGGTTGTTAATCGTAAGCTGATTTCCAGGTCCGAGTTCTCTTTTGGGGGTGGATTCTTGCCTATTGGCTGCATTTTCAATTTGAAAAGCATCGGAGCCAAATGGACGAATAACTCGCATCAGGACGATGTCGCGTGGACCTACCCCGCTAACGAGCGCGATATCCACGTTCAAAGAGATGGTGAGATCTCGCCGCACTTCCGCAGGGGGAAAGCAACTACTGCTGCGCGAAATTAGCAAAATACACTAAATACACTGGAAATTAGCACTACATTTACTCTTAGGAACAACTAGTTTAATATTAAATGCTCATATCGTATACCAGAGAGCCACAAATAAAAAAATAGAGATAAGAAAATTTCGGGAACTTCTCGTTACCGAATAGTTGTTGTCTTCGGAAAATACTATGCCCGACAATAATAGAAACAAAACGAAGAAAGTGCCTCACCACTTAGAGATTCATAAGAATCAGCAGGACAAGCCTATAAGAAGGATGTGCGCCCTATGTTGTGAGAAGAAGAGGCAAACTGTCGAACGCCAAGAAGCGAGGAAAAATGTAAAAAA